GTGGAAAGTTTATCAATTTTTTCATATTATAATCACTGATTACTCTGCTAAGGTAAGAAAATTAGAAACATCCTAATACCCTTAACTCGTAAGTCACACAACATTTGTAAAAGGTATTATGTTAAACAATATTTAGATGTTTGCATTCGGTCTTACTAATACTTTAAGAATGTGAATAAATAAATTTTATCTAGTTTTGATTTTTGTTTCAATATTCTTTATTTATTTCTTGCTTTGGGACCTCATTTGCTTTTGTTTATAAATAGATGTCCTAAAGTAGACACAATTATAGTTCAGCAACTTATTCTAATGTTACTATGAAAGTGTTTTAAGTATTTTAATAACAGTTTTAAAAAATGAACAAGGTTATAGCATTTGTAAAAGTATGATAGTAAAATAGAAGTTTATAACATGAAGTATAAATTATTTAGTTATAAATTAATTCATGACACTTTGAATATTAACGAACCAATGTCTAATTCTTAACAGCTATGTCCAATGAAGAGCGTTTAAAGAAGCTTTTATCAGATTTAGGTAAAGCTACATTGCGCGGAGTTCGTAAATGTCCAAAATGTGGCACCTATAATGGATCTCGTGGTTTATGCTGTAAAAATAAGTACTGTGATGCAGTATTTAAGGAACCTGGTGAAAAAAGAAAATTATCTACAGAAGCGTGTAAGCTTATTACAGGCACAACCGCGCAGGTGTTTTCAGTTCGAGTGCGTGATAAAGGTCCTGACTATCGTGGATTTGTTCAACTTCCATTAATAAATGCAACCATTTCTAATGAAATGACAACACTTATTTCACAATCTACAGCATTATGTTTTGTTGATAGTTGTGAACGAAGTTTTGATACTAGTGTCCTTAAATGTCATGTAAGTTTTTTATATAACACAAATGTTTCATAATAAAATATGTTTCTAATTAGTTTTATATGTGAAAATAACAAAATGCAATTTTATTACAGGAAAAAAATTCATCTGATTTGCCTGTTTCTACATGTCAACATATACAGGCAGCTTTAAGATGTTATGCAGAAGCACAACCATTAACATTAAGGAATTCTATTTTGTCAACTTTAAATGTAAACAATGAAATGAAACAAGAAATATGGTTGCTGGCTACAGAAACATCAGGGCCGTTAGTGCAACGTGTTTCTAAAAATATCATGGCTGTAAAGTGTAAAGCTTCACCAAAACATCCATTGGGGTACCTTCATTTTTCTCTCTTTGTTACAAAATTGAAAGATAGAATTGAACATCGTTATTTTTGTTCTTGTTCTGCTTTTAAGGTAAGTAGAAGGAACAAGCAGAATTTGGTTACATTTTGAAGTACATACATGAATGTATATTAATGTATTAAAAAATAATAGGGTGTAACAAAGACCGTTGGAGAGAAAGTAGATTTGGGACAGTCTTCACAAAATAAACGTTGTGTACACTTTTATGCATGTATTTGTGCATTTGCTAGCGATGAAAAATTATCAGAAGAATTTAGTTATTATATAAATTTAGATCAGACTGACTTAAGTATACCAAAACCATTGACAACAATGTTGCAGAATAATGATCAAGAAAAAATAGTTGGCATTGGTAAGAAATTTATTAACTCTTGAATGTAATGTAATATGTTTTTGCAATGTCCAAAATTACAGATTATGATGGATTGTCTACTGATGACACAGACACGCATCTTCTAATATTTCGAGATGATACTTTAACAGTACAGAGTTTAGATGGAAATAGATTGGACTTAGATTCAATGAACTTGGATTCTACAATATTACCACATAGTATTGTTGAAAATATTGAAGTAGAATGTGATCGAACCTTATTGGAAGATAGTAATATGATATCACAGGTAAAAATGTTATATTAGAATAACTAGAATATTGTATAACAAGTAAAATTATAAAATTACTCTTTGTGTAACACAGGTACACAATTTAGAAGTAATTAATCAAAACAACATGCAACTTGGAGGAAGTACAGTCAAAATTCTGGAGAATCAGACAGCTATTGATTCTAAATATAATGTACTTAATAACAGCCAGTATATCTTAAATGATAATAACATAAAAATATTAAATACTGGAACTTTAAAAGTTCTCGACACAAATACGATTTTGGATGTAAATAATATGAAATTAATTGATACCAATACTGTTTCAAATACAACTGGTATGAAAGTATTAAACAAGAATGTATTAATACAATATGACAGTGGAAATATATCAAATACAGAGAGCAGTAATATACAGCAACCTATCTCAACGAAACGCAAGAGAGATGATAAAACTACAAGCACAAATACCACAAGTTTAAATAATCTGAATTCGATAGAACCGCGAAAAGCAAAAACAAAATTGCAAATTGTTAAAAAATATCAGAATCCTTGTGAGGATTTAGATGAAGCTAACATAAATTTACCTTTTATTAAATGGCTGGCGTCTATAACTGAAAGAATCAATCAGACAATGCACTTTCAATTTGATGGGAAACCTGATCCTCTAGTATTCCATGTACCACAAATATTTTTTGATTGTTTACGTGAAAGGATATCTTGTGGCGGTAAGAAGAAACGATTGCCAAATTCAACAACTGCATTCGTCAGAAAAGATGGGGTGCCGTTGGGTACATTTACGAAGTATACTTGGCACATAACTAATATTCTACATGTTAAAAGTATCTTCGAAACGCCACTTATACCCTTAGAAATAACAAGAAGTTTCGTACAAAATGCAGATGGTACATACGAGTTATATAAACGAGAGGAAACTGAAATAGATCGGTACAAAAAAACTAACAATAATGCATTAATTAAGCCATTAGAATTAAAAACGTATTTGAAAGTTGGTAAGAATTGCACACTTTTAATGAAATTAAGAAAAATTAACATATTTATTTATTTGTAGATACAATTAATTTATTATTTGACTTGCAGGAAATACTTCTCCAAATCAAGTTGAACCAACACCATTTTTGATAGAGTGGATACCGGATATATTACCAATATCAAAAATTGGTGAGCTTAGGATTAGATTTGAATTTGGTCATGTAAAAAACGAAACAAACCACAGATGGAGAAAAATAGCTTTATTATAAAGATATTAATGTATAAGTTTGTCTTTGTATTATCAAATTATTACTTTCCTATTATTAACAATTGTATAGAATATTTTGACAACATTTATTCTTTTTAAAAGAAAAAAGTAACAGTGAGTACGAACTAGATTTTCATTTGTTGCTCCTCATACTGAACATAACATATTTCTCATACCGAAGAATTCAGTACATACGTTGTAAAGGCAACAAAAGAGATATCTTAAATTCTAGAAGGGATTACAT